CGAGACCAGCCTGACCAATATGGTGAAATCCTGTCTCTACTAAAACTACAAAAATTAGCTGGGCATAGTGGCACACACCGATAGTCCCAGCTACTCAGGAGGCTGAGGCAGGAGAATACCTTGAACCCAGGAGGCAGATGTTGCAGTGAGCCAAGATCGTGCCACTGCACTCCAGCCTCGGCGACAGAGCGAGACTCTATCTCAAAAAAAAAAAAAAAAAAAAAGTAATGCATTAAATAATATTGATACAAAATCATTTTATTTCAATGAATACAAGACTAGGGCATTTACTAAGTTACTAATCCTAAATGTATTATTTCAGGAGATACTGTGACAAAACAAGTGTTTTAGATTCAGAGGCTCTATGTGCCAGGGCTGCTGGGCCACCAACAAGTGAGGAAGCCACAGGTTTCTCCAGTCCTGTTTCCTTATACGGAGAACAAAAAGAGCAAGACTGCCATGACATTACTCAAGGGAGACTCTCAGAGAACACTTGCCATTCATTTCAAATGTTGGTTAATTTCATTCTATAATCATTTGACCTGTAGCATTTTCCTGCTACACTCCTGCTCTCTGCCTAGAATACTTCTTTTCTCTTTCCTTATTCCAGCAAGCTTGACTCTGTCTACCCTCTTGAATCTCTTTGCCAGCAGCCACACCAAAAAAATGGTTTTTTTGTATACTATTTGGTCAAATCCACCCCTTGTCACATGACACTAATTCTTGCAGAGTATTCCCCTTTTGAGAAAGTATACCTCTCCATGGAAGGGAGGGCCCTTACTCTTCCTACCTCCAGCTGCTGAGCATAGAATTTTGGATAAATCAAAAAGTTCAACAAGGGTTTGACAAATTAATTCACTTATAATTTGGAAGATAATTCTTACTACATTTAATTACAGCAAAAACACTACTAACGGTTTACTGTTTATTATTTAAGGTAGTCACAAAATAGAGACAAATACTCTAACATCAGTCAGCATAGATAACAGAGTATGAAATTTTACAATCTTTAACAAGAAATGGAAGGGATTACTTAACAGTCTTAAGGTTTAATAACAAAAACTAGAAAATAATCATACCTACTAATTTAGTAAGTCAAAACCAAAGCCTTACTATCAAAGGTCCAGTACCTGTTGGACGCCAGTGCCCACCAACTGATTTCTTCCACTGTACCTGCTGCCTCTCATTTTAACTCATTAAAAATATGAAAGTTATTTTCCTTGTAGAGGTCTTCCACCTCCTTGGTTAGGTATATTCCTAAGTATTTTGTTTTATTTTATTTTTTGCAGCTATTGCAAAAAGAAAATATTGATTATCAGCTTGATCACTGTTGGTGTATAGCAGAGCTACTGATTTGTCTGCGTTAATTTTGTACCCTGAAACTTTGCTGAATTCATTTATCAGTTCTAGGAGCTTTTTTGAGGAGTCTATAGCATTTTCTAGGTATACGGTCATATCATCAGTAAACAGTGACAGTTCGACTTCCTCTTTACCAATCTGGATGCCCTTTATTTCTTTTTCTTGTCTGACTGCTGTGGCTAGGACTTTCAGTACTATGTTGAATAGAAGCGGTAAGGGTGGGCATCCTTGTCTTGTTCCAGTTCTCAGGGAGACTGCTTTCAACTTTTCCCTAATTCAGTATTATGTTGGCTGTGGGTCTGTCATAGATGGCTTTTATTACATTGAAGTATGTCCCTTGTATGCAGATCTAGCTGAGGGTTTTAATCATAAAAGGACGTCGAATTTTGTCAAATGTTTTTCCAGTGTCTATTGAGATGATTATGTAATTTTTATTTTAAATTCCATTTATGTGATGTATCGCATTTATTGACTTGTGTATGTTAAACCATCCCTGCATTCCTGGTATGAAATTCACTTAATCATCGTGGATTATCTTTTTGATATGCTGTTGGAACAATAAAACATTGCTTAAAGGAATCATAGATGACACAAATAAATGGAAACACACCCCATGCTCATGGATGCATAGAATTGATATTGTGAAGATGATCACACTGCCAAAAGCAATCTACAGATTCAATGCAATTCCCATCAAAATACCACCATCATTCTTCACAGAATTAGAAAAAACAATTCTAAAATTCATATGGAACCAAATAATAGCCCACACAGCTGAAGCAAGACTAAGCAAAAAGAACAAATCTGGAAGTACCACATTACCTGATTTCAAACTATACTATAAGGTCACAGTCACCAAAACAGTGTGGTACTGGTATAAAAATAGGCACACTGACCAATGGAACAGAATAGAGAACCCAGAAATAAACACAAATACTTACAGCCAACTGAACTTTGACAAAGCAAAGATAAACAAAGTGAGGAAAGGATACCCTTTTCAACAAATGGTGCTGGGATAATAGGCTAGCCACATGTAGGAGAATGAAACTGGATCCTCATCTCTCACCTTATATAAAAATCAACTCAAGATGGATTAAGGAGTTAATTCTAAGACCTGAAACTATAAAAATTCTAGAAGGTAACATTGAAAAAAACCCTTCTAGACATCTACTTAGGTAAGGGTTTCATGAACAAGATTCCGAAAGCAAATGCAATAAAAACAAAGATAAGGCCAGGCATGGTGGCTCACACCTGTAATCCCAGCACTTTGGGAGGTCGAGGCTGGCAGATCATGAGGTCAGGAGTTTGAGATGAGCCTCCTCAACATGGTGAAACCCTGTCTCTACTAAAAATCCAAAAATTAGCCAGGCGTGGTGACGTGTGCCTGTAATCCCAGCTGCTCAGAAGGCTGAGGCAGGAGAATCACTTGAACCCGGGAGGCAGAGGTTGCAGTGAGCTGAGATTGTGCCACTGCACTCCAGCCTGGGCAACAGAGCAGGACTCCATCTCAAAAACAAAACAAAACAAAACAAAAAAACAAAGATAAATAGCTGGAACTAAGTTAAACTAGATAACTTTTGTACAGCAAAAGGAACAGTCAGCAGAGTAAACAGACAACCCACAGAGAGTGGGAGAAAATCTTCACAGTCTATGTAGTTAACAAAGGACTAATATCCAGAACCTACAATGAACTCAAATCAATCCCATCAAAGAGAAAAACAATCCCATCAAAAAGTCGGGTAAGGACATGAATAGACAATTCAAAAAAACGATATACAAATGGCCAACAAACATGAAAAATGCTCAACATCACTAATGATTACAGATAGGCAAATCAAAACCACCTTACTCTGCAAGAATGGCCATAACAAAAAAAAGTAGATGTTGGCATGGCTGCAGTGAACAGGAACAACTTCTGGTGGGATTGTAAACTAGTACAACCACTATGGAAAACTGTGAAGGTTCCTTAAAGAACTAAAAGTAGAACTACCATATGATCCAGCAATCCCAGTACTGGGTATCTATCCAGAGGAAAAGAAGTGATTATATGAAAAAGATACTTGCACATGCATGTTTATTGCAACACAGTTTGCAATTGCAAAAACATGGAACCAACCCAAATACCCATCAATCAACAGGTAGATAAAGAAATTGTAACATATATATATGATGGAATACTACTTAGCCATAAAAAGGAATTAATTAATGGCATTTGCAGTGACCTGAATGAGATTGGAGACTATTATTCTAAGTGAAGTAACTCAGGAATGAAAAACCAAACATCACATTTCTCACTCATAAGTGGGAGCTAAGCTATGAGGATGCAAAGGCATAAGAATGACACAATGGAACTGGGGACTTGGGGGATCAGTGGGGGGTGGGGGCGCAAGGGATAAAATGCTACAAATAGGGTGCAGTGTATACTGCTCAGGTGATGGATGCACCAAAATCTCACAAATCGCCACTAAAGAACTTACTCATGTAACCAAACACCACCTGTTCCCCAATAACCTATGGAAATTAAAAAAATTATAAATCCGCAAAAAGCAAGCAAACTCGTTATGAGCATGGAAACCTAAGATAATTAACATTAAATTAAAATATGTTGAAACAATAAGAGAATTAGACGAGAAGCACTGTTACGGGATAAAAACCAAAAGCTTTTCTGTAATGTGTAACATTTGCAGCGTCTAACACCTGCAGCAGTGGGCCGGATCGCCTTAGAACCCTCACGCCCTGGAGTGGCAGGACAGGGCTCACAGGTCAGTGGATCAGGTGGGCTGTAAAGAGAAAAGGTGGAGGTTCCAAGTTGAAAATCCATACAATTATAAAGTAAATTTAAAGTTATATCATTTCTTCCCCCCACCAGGGTTAATTCACTTTATTTTTCTTGTATAAAAACACTAATACTACAGTAGTGATTCCTTTTTTAAAAAATCAATTTTTCTACAAAATTCTTTTTTTTTTCACAGTTCACAAAAGCCATGGCATTTTTTCAATATTTGCAATTCCCAATCCATATTCAACTTTCCAATTGTCTCTGAAAGTCTTATTAAAAAAAAAAATGCTGGTTCAACCGGGAACCAATGGAGGGCTACTCTTTATAGTTGTCAGTAGCGTTCAAGTTTAACCTTTAACTTCTTTTTTTTTTTTTTTTTTTGAGACGGAGTTTCGCTCTTGTTACCCAGGCTGGAGTACAATGACGCGATCTCGGCTCACTGCAACTTCCGCCTCCTGGGTTCAAGCAATTCTCCTGCCTCAGCCTCCCGAGTAGCTGGGACTACAGGCGCGCGCCACCATGCCCAGCTAATTTTTGTATTTTTAGTAGAGACGGGGTTTCACCATGTTGACCAGGATGGTCTCGATCTCTTGACCTCGTGATCCGCCCGCCTTGGCCTCCCAAAGTGCTGGGATTAATAGGCGTGAGCTACCGCGCCCGGCCACCTTTAACTTCTTTGAGCTCTTAGAGTCTGAGCAGGGGACTTTAAAAGCTTCATCCTTGCTAGTTCTTAATAGCCGAAACGCGGAGTCACGTCGAAAGTGACCACACGGGCTTCTGGGAAATGTAGTCCTGAATGAGTTTGTTAGCCGCGCAGCACTCTGGAATGGGGCTACTGGGCCCCTTCTGCGCCTGTGCAGCCGGAGCTCCACCTCCTCATTTGGGTTCCCGGGACTACGGGGAAGCGGTTTGGGAAGCTCCGGCGTAGGCTGGGGAAGCTCCGGCGTAGGCTGGGAAAGCAGAGGTGGCGCAGCTGGGGCGGGAGTGTGGGACCAACCGGGAGGGCAGCGTTTGTGCCCGGGAGCGGGAGGGGAATAGGGAAGTTTGTGGGATCTCTGCCCCCAGCGCCAGTGGATGCGACCCGGTGGGCCCTCGGCTGGGAAGGCCAGTGGAGAAAAGGTGGGACTCCGGCCGCGGGCTCCGGCGGCGGCTGGGGCTGAGCGCGGGTCTGGAGCAGGTGTGCGGTGTTGGCCGCGGTGTGCGGGACGGGAGCTTGGCGCGAGCGGCGGCGGGAGGGGAAAGCGCGTTTGTAACGCGGGCGACAGCGTGCCGGAAATCCCCGGACAGTGGGTCTGCATCGAGACCTTGAGCTCTGGAGCTGGAAAAACCCGGGTAAGTGCCAGCTCTGTCAACTGGAAGCCGAGGTGAATGCAGGAACCTGGGTGAGAGTCAGGTTTCTTGTCTGAAAATGAGGGTATTAATGAGTGCTTCATGGCGTTGGTTTAAAACTTAAGTCGCCGCCTGTAAAGCAAACAGCCGACTGTAGGCTATTAAGCCATGAGCGACTGCTGCTGTTATATTTAGAAAACACTTTCTTCTGTTCACTGGGTGCCTTATGTAAACCTCACAACCACATCTGCATTAAATATAACAACTGAGGCTTAGGTCACAGCTAGCAGTGAGGGAGCTGGGGTTCAAGGTCAGGTGCGATTTATTTCCCGTTTCAGGCGCTAATATCACACCTGCTTGAAACCAGCGTTGCAGCCTGCACTGCATTTAGCAGAGTGGCATGTCCCGAAATACTCAGGGAGTGGATGTAGACGGAATCTTACCATGTGTCAAATGTGTTCTGAATTTCTGGCGTGTCTTCAGATTTCTTGGATCAGACAAGGTTCCTGGCCCCTTCTGCACTGTCAGGGTGTCTCTCTTTAAAGTCTGATGTAATGAATTCTGAGAGTCAGGTTTTTGCCACTGAAATGGTTTCTCAAGTCAGCTCGACGGTTCCTTGAACAAATAGCCCTTGCTAAGTGGGAAGCAGGGGCCTCTGTGAACAGTTTTACCTGGAGAACGCCTCTCAGACCTAGACCCTCTCCCGAGCTTCAGAGCAGAGGCAGAAGAGCCCACAAAGGAGCAGATCCTAGATTTGTATGGTCAGAAGCAGTTCTTGATCCTTCTTCCCAGAATGAGCCACACTTTGTGGTGAAGCCTCCAGAAGCCACCACAGACTGCGAGACAGTGGGTGGTTTGGGCCAGCTTTGAGAAGAGCAAAGTGAGCTGGGTGGGGGCTAGGGACAGGCTGCTTAGGAAAGGCCACATCATTGCAGAGCTTGTGAGGGCTCTGCAGCCCCCAGTCCCTTTGTTCTCCACTCTTTACACATGCACACTGCTGGTAACACATGTGACACTGGAGACTTTGTCCCTACCTCATAGAATCCCACCATGATGATACATGAAAGGTTTTCCGTAGTTATCTACTTCTGACTCTTGGGAAAGCTTTAAAGACATTGGGCATGAAAGGATCAGTGAATTTCCAGGGACCCCTCGTTTGTGGCAGAGCCAGGAGAATAACAGTTTCGTTCATTCTTCCACAGGTGAGTCACCAAAAGCATCTTATCCAAAGGGGCTTTTGAGAAATACATCCCAGTTAAAACAACTAAAACTGTTTGTCTTAAAGCATCTCATCTCTTTTTACAAGACTTTCTGTGGATTGTCTATACCAAGGGTAAACAGTATTAGTAAGAAAAATAGTTAAATGATGCACAACAAATATTTTTCTGCTTATTTTGTGTTTTGGAGACCAAAGCTTATCCTATTGTCCAAGCAAGAGTGCGGTGGCACAAACACGGCTCACTACAGCCTCTACCTCCTGGGCTCAAGTGATCCTCCTGCCTCTGCCTCCCATGTAGCTGGGACCACAGGTGCATGCCACCACACCTGGCTAATTTTTTTTTTAAGTTTCTATTTTCTGTAGAGACAGGGTCAATACTGTGTTGCCCAGATTGGTCTTGAACTCCTGAGCTCAAGCCATCCTCCTCCTCTGGCTTCCCAAAGTGCTGGGGTTACAGGTGTCAACCATGGTGCCTGCTAAGTTAATTTTAATGAAAGAATAGTGTCTTATCCTGTTGTGTACATTAATTCAACTAATCCTCTCTTGTCTTTATTTCTTTGTGTGCATTAGAAGCACATGTGCATTATTGTTAATTGGGAAAAGTTCATGTTCACACAATAAAAAATAGCAGTTTAAGTCCCATGATTATTTCAGAGTTGTCATAGATACAGTGCCCAGAACTCTAAGTGGTGCTTCCCATGCCTTTTCAAGGCCTGAAGGGCCCTGTTAACTTCGGCATCTTGCTCCCCAACTGAATTGCTTAGATTTGGGGAGGTGAATCTAGGAGCTGTGATGTAGGCCAGACCATGTGACTTCCTTTTTCTGTCCCCCCAGCTGAGGCTTCACAGTTCTCTACACTCTCCAAGAGCCACAGAAAATGAACACATTTCAGGTGAGCTCTTTATTCATTCCCCACTTTCTATCATAATGGATTTGTGAGGTTTAGATGGGTCCTTGCATTAAATGGAAAAGGAGAAATAGATCAAATAAATCTTGAGGGAAAATATATACAGTTTTACTCTGAACTCTGTTTGCTGTGAGCTTTTAATAAATAACCTTTGTCAGGTTTAGTGGGTTGCCTCCAGTTACCAGTTTGCCAAGATTTCATGTTAGTCATGAATGCACATTAAATTACATTAAATGCTTTTTGTATATCTGTGAATAAATCTATAGCTGTGTCCTTTATAAATATTGTGAATAATGGATTTTGTAAAAGTAACTTGAATTCCTGTATAGACCCTAGTTTCTAATGAGTGTTGCTTCTTACATGTTTCCTAGCACTTTTTGGTCATAATTTAGGATTTTTATTTCTGTATTTACAAATTGGATTAAACTATACTTTCCTGTTTCCCTGTTCAGTTATGGTATCATGGTTGTCTCATGAAAGGAAATGGGCACTTGTTTCTTGTTTCTTCTTTTCTGATAATTTAGAAAAGTGAGAAAATTGTGTTATATGTAGATTTTGTGAAACTCACCTATGAATTTGGACCTTGCAAAGACTTTTTGTGTGAAGATTTTGATTATTGAATAAATTTATTAGTTGGTTAATCAGCTTCTTATCATAAGTGTATACTGGATTTGTACTTCCTCAATATAGTTTTGTCATTACATTTTCATAGAAAATTGTAATCATTTATTTTTTTCTTTTTAGATTTAGTAACTGTTTATTGTTGGTTAACCATTATCAAACAAGATTTTTCTTTCTCAATATACATTAAGTTATAAATGTACAGAGACAAGTTATAAACCAAAAAAAATGAGATATTAAGGTATTTTAAAAACCACCTTGCATACACAAATTATAAGATTTATTATAATTTTCATACAACTTTACCACCCTAGTCCTAATATACTTTAACACTGAAGATGCAACTTGCCTGCTTACTTAGCACTTTACTTAGATATATTTATTAAGATGCAAAAGTTCATAATGTACGTTTACTAAAACTAGAAAGACTTTCAATTTTAACATAAAATGTGTTTGAAATTTTCAACTAGGAATCTGAACATTTTGCTTTTACATTTTATTTCATGTATTTTATTATCCCAGGGTCTAAGTCAAGACAGGCCTTAACCAAAATGAAACAGCAAGACTACAAAATCCTAATAAATGCTGTCTTTCCTTTATACTTAAAAACATTTCTTTAAAATGTTTTGTTTCAACAGCTTTTGGGGTACAAGTGGTTTCTTGTTACACGGATGAATTATATAGTGGTGAATTCTGAGATTTTTAGTGCACCTGTGGCCTAGCAAGTAATGTACATTTTACTTAATAGGTAGTTTTTTATGCCTAGCACGTTTTCCTAGCCTCCCACCCTCCCCTTTCTTGGTCTCTAAAGTCCATTATGTCACTCTGTATGCCTTTGTATACTCATATCTTGGCTCCCACTTATAAGTGAGAATATACAGTTTGGTTTTCTACTCCTGTGTTACTTAGAATAACAGCATCCAGCTCCATCCAAGTTGCTGCCAAAGACATTATTTCGTTCCTTTTTATGGCTGAGTAGTATTCCATGGTATATAGGTACCACATTTTCTTTATTCAGTCAGTGGATAAGGCGCTTAGGTTGGTTCCACATCTTTGCAATTGTGAACTGTGTTGCTACAAATGTGTGCTGGTTTGTATTTCATTTATAATGAGTTCTTTGCCTGTGAGTAGATACCCAGTAGTGGGATTGCTAGATCAAATGGTAGATCTACTTTTAGTTCCTTAAGGAATCTCCATAGTGTTTCCATAGAGGTTGTCCTAATTTACATTCTTACCAGCATTGTATAGGCATTCCCTTTGTTCACATCCATGCGAACATCGATTGTGTTTTGACTTTGTAAATACAGGGCATTCTTGGAGGAGTAAAGTGGTATCTCATTGTGGTTTTAATTTGCATTTCCCTGATTACTAGTGATGCTGAGCATTTTTTTCATATGTTTGTTGGACATTTGTATATCTTCTTTTGAGAAACGTCAATTCATATCCTTTGCCCACTTTTTGATGGGATTTTTTTTCCAGCTGATTTGAGTTCCTTGTAAATTCTGGATACTTTGTCAGATGCCTAGTTTGTAAATATTTTCTCCCATTCTGTGGGTTGTCTGTTTAATCTGGTAATTATTTATTTTGCTGTGTAGTTTTTGCTTTTTAGTTTAATTAGGTCCAGTTAATTTATTTTTGTTTTTCTTGCATTTGCTTTTGGGGTCTTATTCATGAATTCTTGCCTAGGCTGATGTCCAGAAGAGTTTTTCAAATGTTGTCTTTTAGAATTTCTATGGTTTCAAGTCACAGACTTAAGTCTTTGATCCATCTTGAGTTGATATTTGTATAAAGTAAGAGATAGGGATCCGGTTTCATTCTTCTACATGTGGCTTGCCACTTTTACCAGCACCACTTATTAAATAGGTCAGAGGTCCCCAATCCATGAGACCACTGACTGGTACTGGTCTGTGGTCTGTTAGGAAATGAACAGCACAGCAGGAGGTGAGCAGCAGGCTTCTGAGCTCTGCCTTCTGTCAGATCAATGGTATCAGATTCTCATAGGAGAGGGAACCCTATTGTGAACTGCACATGCAAGGGATCTAGTTGTGTGCTCCTTAAGCGAATCTAATGCCTGAATCTAACTAATGATCTGAAGTCAATCAGTTTAATCTAGAAACCATCCACATACCACCCGCCTCCAGCTTCTGGTCCATGGAAAAATTGTCTTCCAGGAAACCAGTTCCTGGTGCCAAAAAAGTTTGGGATTGCTGAAATAGGGTGTCCATTCCCCTGTTGATGTTTTTGTGTGCTTTGTCAAAGGTCAGTTGACTGTACATTTTTGGCTTTATTTCTGGGTTCTCTATTCTGTTCCATTGGTCTGTGTGCCTGCCTTTATACAAGTACCGTACTGTTTTGGAAATTATAGCCAGCCTTGTAGTATAATTTGAAGTCTTGTGATGCCTCCAGATTTGTTCTTTTTGCTCAGGATTGCTTTGGCTATTTTGGCTCTTTTTTGTTCTGTATGAATTTTAGGATTGTTTTTTCTAATTCTGTAAAAGATGTTGGTATTTTGATGAGAATTGCATTGAATTTGTAGATTGCTTTGGGTAGAATGGTTATTTTCACAATATCGATTCTTCCAGTCCATGAGCACAGGTTGTGTTGCATTTGTTTGTGTCATCTGTGATTTCTTTCATCAGTGTTTTGTAGTTCTTATAGAGTTCTTTCACCTCCTTGGTTAAGTATATTCCTAGGTTTTTTTGTTTGGTTGGTTTGTTTTTGTGGCTTTTGTAAAATAAATTGAGTTCTTGATTTGAGTCTCAGCTTGGTAGTTGTTGTTATAGCATTGTTACCGATTTCTTTACATTGATTTTGTACCTTGAGACTACTGAATTCATTTATCAAATCTAGGAGTCTTTCGGAGGAGTCTTGGATTTTCTATGATGATATCGTCTGCAAACAGTAATAGTTTGACTTTTTCTTTTCCAATTTAGATGCCCTTTATCTCTTTCTCTTGAGCAATTGCTCTGGCTAGGACTTCCAGAACTATGTTGAATAGGAGCGGTGAAAGCAGGCATTCTTGTCTTGTTCCTGTCTCAGGGGGAATGCTTTCAACTTTTCCCCGTTCAATATGATGTTGGCTGTGGGTTTGTCACATATGGCTTTTATTATTTTGAGGTAAGTCCCTTCTATGCTAAGTGTGTTGAAAGTTTTTTTCATAAAGAGATGCTGGATTTTGTCAAATGCTTTTTCTCCATCTATTGAGATGATTATATGATTTTGTTTTTAGTGTTGTATATGTGATGTATCACATTTATTTACTTGCATATGTTAAATCCCTGCATCCCTGAGGTGAAACGCACCTGATCATGATGTGCTTTTTGATGTGCTATTGTATTCAGTTAGCTAGTGTTTTGCTGAGGATTTTTGCATCTATGTTCATCAAGGATATTGGTCTGTAGTTTCCTTTTTTGTTGTTGTGTCCTTTCTTGGTTTTGGTATCAGGGTGATACTGGCTTCATAGACTGATTTAGGAAGGATTCCCTCTTTTGCAATCTTTTGGAATAGTTTCTGCAGGTTTGGGACCAGTTCTTCTTTGAATGCCCGGTAGAATTCAGCTGTGAAACCATCTGGTCCTGGGATTTTTCTTGTTGTTGGCAATTTTTAAATTCTTAAATTACTCATTCCATCTCCCTACTTGTTGTCTATTTGGGGTTTCAATTTCTTCCTGATTTAATCTACGAGTGTTGCATGTTTAAGGAGGTAGAAGATAGGACGCCCAATCTCTCTGGCTTTTCGGGTTTCTGCTGAGAAGTCTGCTGTTAATCTAATAAGTTTGCCTTTACAGGTTACCTGATGCTTTTGTCTTAGTGCTCTTAGAATTCTTTCCTTTATGTTGGCTTTAGACAGCCTGATGACTATATGCTTTGGTGAAGATCTTTTTGCAGTGGATTTTCCAATAGTTCTTTGACATTCTTGGATTGGGATATGTAAATATCTAGCCAGGTCAGTGAAGTTTTCCTCAATTATTTCCTCAAGTAAGTTTTCCAGACTTTTTGTCTTCTCCCTCAGAAACATCAATTTTTCTTAAGTTTGGCCATTTTATATAATTTCATATTTCTTGGAGACTTTGTTCATTTTTTAAATTCTTTTTTCTGAGCTTTTTAATCTTTTTTGTGTTATGTATCATGCCACGTTTCTGTGTACAGCTGCATGAGATAATAACAGATTTTGATTCTTGAAAAGATTCACTTCCTTATTTATCTCTGTTGCTTTGCTTTAATACAGATCATCTCTTAATTTTGGTCTTTTGTTTTGCTGCTTAAGTTCACTCTCCATATAGCACAATGGTTCCTAACTGAGGGTGTTTGTCCGCCAGAAGACATTTGACAATGTTTGGAGATATTTTTGATTGTCAAAACTGG